ATTTACTTAATTAGAGGCAAAATAATGGTTCCTTCTTTAATAAGTGTTTTTGTTTGCTTGCTTGCTTCTTAACATCACATGAAAATTTATAAGTGCTCAGATTAAATGAAAATGTGAAGAAGCAATTATGTGTCCAACTATTAGTAGACAGAGCTATTGCCTTGTTGTTAAGTGATGCTGGAGGCATGCCAGTCCTTCTTGGAGGATGGTTGCTTCAAGAGGAACTCACTGTTTGATGTAGGGAAATTTATAGAAAAAGGGAAATACACTCAGCAAGAAAATTTGAACAGTGAGAATTTCTCTTGCAATCTTTTCTTTACAAACAAGAAATGAGAAACATTCCAGCTGGCTGAACATTGTATGGAAAGAATCTGAGTGATTTGTCCAATAGGGATCCAATACAATGTATGCAGGGTAACACAAAGAGGGCAAAGCAAGATCTTATGATAAACCGAGGGATACAATGAATACCAATGATTTATTAAACTTGTATGCTTCCTGACTCACAACATTTCTGGGTGCTTCACAACAATCAAACAAAACCATTACAATGAAACAGCACGATGGCAAGCATGACATTCCGGATGCAATGATGCTTTTATGTATTTGTCTTTAAATAAATTGATTAACTAGGGGGACAGCTGACTCCCTGCTTAATCTTCAGCTTTTTACTAAATATTCTATTTAATCCAAAGTAAGCTTTACTTCTAAATGACACCTCTCTTATTTCATTCAGCAACCAACCATATGCACACATTTCATAATTCAGGCTGATTCCAATCATCATAAGCTTTGTCTAAATCAACAAATGTACAATTGACATTCTTTCCCACGTTTATATACTTCTCAATGACCTGTTGAAGAGCAAAATATGATCTGCACGTTCATTATCTGGCATAAGGCTACCTTGTAATTCCCTTATTTTGTTCATTGTTGTAGCTCGTAGCCTTTCCATCAGAAATCTACCAAATACTTTCCGAGGCATACTTGAAAACAAATCCTTCTGTATAGTTCTAGCATTCCTAATACTACTTTTGCCTGCAGGCAGGAGAACAATAATAGCATTCTTGGAACCATCACACACACAGATACAGTCATATCACATATATAAAACAAAGCGCACAGCACTCCAGAAGCAAACTAAATCCTTACTGTAATTTAATACAATTACATTGTCTATATGTGCAATTTTGCCCTCTTTTCAACATTCCTCACAGCATTTATCACTTGCTTTTCATCAATAGTAGTAATTGTGAGAAGGATCTCGGAGTCCTAGAGGACAATCATTTAAATATGAGCCAGCAGTGTGCTGCAGCTGCCAAAAAAGCCAACACAGTGCTAGGCTGCATTAACAGAGGGATAGAATCAAGATCACATGAAGTATTAATACCACTCTTCAATGCCTTGGTAAGGCCACACTTGGAATACTGCATCCAGTTTTGGTCACCATGATGTAAAAAAGATGTTGAGATTCCAGAAAGAGTACAGAGAAGAACAACAAAGATGATTAGGGGACTGGAAGTTAAAACATATAAGGAAAGGTTGCTGGAATTGGGTATGTCTAGTTTAATGCAGAGAAGGATGAGGGGGGACATGATAGCAGTGTTCCAATATCTCAGGGGCTGCCACAAAGAAGAGGGAGTCAAGCTAATTTCCAAAGCACCTGAAGGCAGGACAAGAAGCAACGGGTGGAAACCAACCAAAGAGAGAAGCAACCTAGAACTAAGGAGAAACTTCCTGACAGAACAATTAACCAGTGGAACAACCTGCCTCCAGAAGCGGTGAATGCTCCAACACTGGAAGTTTTTAAGAAGAAACTGGACAGCCATTTGTCTGAAATGGTATAGGGTTTCCTGCCTGAGCAGGGGGTTGGACTAGATGACCTCCAAGGTCCCTTCCAACTTTATCATCATTATTATTATTATTAATTTTTTTTTGTTGGGCTCTAATATTTTTAGTTTTTATTTCAATTGAATTTTCACATATTGCTATCCTCCCATTTCACAAATCTCTACAATATTCATTTTATAATAGGATTATCACACATCAATTTCATCCTGAATAATTTAATCACTTTTAAAAAATTCCATTCACACTTTTAGAGGCTTCTTATTTATTCCTTTCCATCTACTTCCAAAGCAATATCTTTTTTTCATCAAACTGATCTACATTTCTCTGCTTCCTTTAATCTTATCCATTCCTTGTTCTCTTTGACTACAGTCTTCACAACAGTATTCTTCTTTCTATACCTATTACAGTATGCAATATTTTTCTTTCATTTTTTTCCATAATTCCATAATTCTCCTAGATCTTGGTTTTTTTCATTCTATAGTTGCTTGCACTTCATTATTCTACCAAAGATCATTTTCATATTTTCTATTAATGTAACTCTATACAGTTTTGTGGCACACTGTATTGTATTGTTGTTCTTTTTATTATGTTTCAAGTAGCTTCTGCATTCAGTTTCCTTGTGTTTACTTTCTATTTATTCTGTTTGATAGATCTGTCTGCCTGCCTCTATCTATCTATCTATCTATCTATCTATCTATCTATCTATCTATCTATCTATCTATCTATCTATCTATCTATCATAACCATCCATCCATCCATCCATCCATCCATCCAGGATTCACTTTTCACTTTTTCTTTCACATTTTTTTCTTCCATATCCACTTTTTAGACAGATCTCCTCATGAGAGCTTTAAATAATGGTCTTCTAACATTCAGAATCTCTTATCACTCTTGTGTGTCTTTCACTGATTTCTCAGCCATTCAGTATAATCAGTCCAATCTGTCACACTTTTATTCTTTTCCCACATGTAGGTAAGAAGAGACTTACCCTTAAATCACCAATTTGGAACACAATTTTTTGGCATCCAGCAGAATAATTTTTATTTTGGAATTTATGCATTCAGAATATTCTATATGTTTCATCCTAAACTTATCTCCAGTACTTTCATTAGTACCATTCATTGCAGCTTGACATGCAACGTTGTCCAACTTCCCACAAAATTCTTGCTTTCATCTGCACTCACAATAACCTAGATGATTTATGCTTTCAAATGTGCAATGTTTAATCTCTTCCTTCGTAGTTAAAGCTACTGACATTTTCTGTGCATTTTAAATTTGGTAAATTGATACTTCCAAGTTCTTTCCTTAACAATAGTATTTGGATTTGCATATTGCCCCTAAAAATATGGGTCCTCATTTTATCAACCTCAGAAGGACGGAAAGCTGAATCAACTTCAATCCATATCAGGATCAAACTCTTGGCTGTGGGCAGAGTTTGCCTGCAATACTAAACTTTAACCACTGTCCAATCAGGACTTAATAAAATAGGGAAGACTTTCATTAGGTTTCCTATGCCACGAACAGAGTTCCCTGATAAAAAGAAAGGTAATGCAACTCAAAGAAGCAACCTAGAACTAAGGAGAAAATTCCTAACAGTAAAACAATGAACCAACACTGGAAGCTTTTTAAAAGAGACTGGAATAGCAATAGCATTTAGACTTAGATACTACTTCACAGTGCTTTACACCCATCTAAGCGGTTTACAGAGTCAGCATACCGACCCCAACAACCTTGGTCCTCATTTTATTGACCTTGGAAGGATGGAAGGCTGAGTCAACCTTGAACTGCTGAGACTCAAACTGCCAAACCACAGGCAGCCAGCAGTCAGCAGAATTAGCCTGCAGTACTACATTCTAACCACTGCACCATCGCTATCAGAAACAGTATAGGTCTTTGAGAGCAGGGGGTTAGACTAGATGACTCCAAGGTCCCTTCTAACCTTGTTATTGTTACAGTTTTGGATACGGTTGCTACAATCAAATCTCCACCATCTGTTTCCAACTGAATTGGTAGTACTTGCCATGACCTCACTGATGTCTTGTTTCTTTTTCTGCCTAAGGGGCATTTCTTTCTCATTATACCCTTTTCTCTGATGATTTTTAAATTTTTTAAGAACTGCACAGCTAATGCATATGAAATTGCCACCCTCAACAGTTGCTTCTGGAGGGATAGATGCCATTTTTTTGCAGGATCATTGAGTATGTCAGCAGTACTTATTATTTAATCCTGTTATTTTTTATTTAATGAATGAAACTCATGTTTAATATTTTAGAAGTCACTGTGCACTGCAAGATATCCCTACCAGATACCCTGAAGCAAAAAGAAGAAGAAAGAGCTGAGCATAGTAATTGGCACATGCTGAATCATATACTACAAGCATGACTTGAATAGTAAATGTTTTAATAGAAAGAACACTCTTTCTTCACTATCAATATCTCTAGACAGCAGTTTCAACAAACAGCTTAATCTTAAAATTAAAATAGCAGCTTTCCTTTAGTCTCCATGTCTAAATAAATCCCCCCCTCTTTTCCTCCCAGTCTTTGAGCTTTTATTTTATTTTCAAGTGTATTTATATAATTACATCCTCAAACTTAGGAACAAAAAGAGACCACCCTCTTCATTCATTTACATGGAATGAATAGAAAATCAGTCACTGCAATACTGTAATATAAAGTAAAGAGGTTAAAGCTCCCTGAATCAGATTTTTAAAACTGCAGCACAAGGAAAAGAAATAAACTTTAGGTCAGGGGTCTTCAAACTTGGCCCTTTTAAGACTTGTGGACTTCAACTCCCAGAATTCCTCAATCAGTGTGCCTGGCTGAGGAATTCTGGGAGTTGAAGTCCACAAATCATAAAAGGGCCAGATTCAAAGACCCCTGCTTTAGGTCATACTAACCTCTGCAACAGAATAAACTTGCTTATGTTCTTTTGAGCATGCAAACAAATGGTCCACATTTACTTTTCTGGGAGGAAAAGCATTATAGATTTGTGGAAGTTTCCAGGTATGCGGCTAAATAAACAGGAATATTTTAAAACTGAGACTGCGCTGCAGTGATACACCTTTCCTACTGGTTTGAGCCCCGAGATAGTCCATATACAATGGGTATCCAGGTTTCTCTTTGGTTTGGAAAGAGATAACAAAAGTCTTCTCGGAATGTCACACTATGCTTTTATTTACAAATGTACAGAGTGAACATACAAATGGTACAGTTTTTCACAGAAAACTGAAGTACAGTACCCTGCATAAGATTTTAAGGCAGATTCTGACAGAATTGGAAACGCAACGTTCCTCATCTCTTTCTTTGCCTTTGTACACATTCTCTCATCACACATACAGTTATATGGATTATCTTCAGGGATATCCTTGGGAGGCGAACATTGCATAATATCATAGGTTAGTTTATTCCTTTTACTCCTAGTCAGAGCTTTCTCAAAATGGCCTAATTCTAACAAAGAGTTGTCTAAGTACCTAGTTCCCATGGCAACCAATCACTTTATTTTATGAAAGATTAGGTTGTAAGTAGTTAAACCTCGACAGCAGGTTTGAAAAAAAAATAAGTATTTTTTTCTGAATTATTTGTCCTCTCATTCAAGCTTACAATTTTATACCTATGTCAAAAAAAGATTTCTGCTTGTGGTTTCACAGGGAAGGGAAAATACCATGCTTCTTTGTCCTTTTTTTAATTACAGTATCTAAGAAGATTTAATCAGGAATCAACCCCCCCCCTACATTCTATAAGTTTTATTGCTTTTTGTTGTGTGGGTATCTTCAAGTCAGTACTGACTCCTGACAGCTGCCTGAATAAGTCCCTCCAGGTTTCTTGGGAAGGTTTTCAGACATGGTTTCCTATTGCTGCTTCCTAGAACTGAGAGGCAGTGACTGGTCCCAGGTCTCCTAACAGGCTTCATGCTTGTGGTCTTTTAGGTTCTGGCTTGATGCTTAACTATTTCACCAAATTGAATTTCTAAAGAGTTCATCCTCAATTTGTTCAATGTTTTTCTAGGTCCCATTTAAAATCAAACTTCTGACTATGTGTTTATTCTTTCTAAATTGTTGAATGTATCTGTTCACTCTTTCACATTAGGAAGCATAATGTTGAGCATGAATATTTTCACACTTTTTCACACATTCTCTCAGAATGTGATATATTGCTTCACAGAATATAAAAAAAGCAAACGGATAGCTCTAATGCTTGATGAATAATGCTATCTGATGTTCATACAAAAATCATTCCCACACTGTAAGAGGCAGGAATTCCCTGCTTTTATGTCACATATTATATTTGGATTTTGTACACAATCCAACATATTTCTATTTATGGCTGTGCATGTGCATAGCGATTATTGTTAAATGTGCTACTGTTTATTAGGGACTTGACCTTCACAGTACTAGGTGTAATATATATGAATTGTAGAAATACAGATGATCACTAGATGGCAGTGAAAAAATATAAAACTAACTCTTTGTCCCTCTTTAATGGTCATCCAAATTTTTGCAACTCAGAAAGGCCTAATTTTATAAAGAGTATCTGAGAATAAAAAGTTCTTGGCAATCCATGTAATAGGTGAAACTGATACGATGGATATGGATGGATATGGATACGATCATCTACAAGTAAACAAGTTAAAATAAAATGGAAACAATTCTGTGGGTTCTATGATAACTTTCCTCATCTAAACTATTTGAGGTAATGCTGCCCCTTCATTGGCATGAAGATGGGGTCAAAGGGAAGCTAACATTTACAGCCAGACAGCAAAATCTGGCTGAGCATCTTTGAAGTCATTGAAGGTAAAAGAACGTGATCTCCGCCGAAGAGCTGAACAGCCTAAAGGTCTGCCATGAAGTAAGTCTAAGTAAAGGTTGGACTTTAAGAAGCGCGGATAACTGTCTTGTTCCATCAAGGCATAAATTTTGTTCTGTGCAGCATCAAACGTGTTTTGCGTTGGATGAACCATATTCTGATTTACAGAGACTTTGGTATTAAAATCAAGGTTGACCTAGAGAAAAACAAAACATTTGATAAAGTGGATGATTATTGGTTATTCTCAATCTTTCTGTATAAGGTATTGACTCCCTAACCTATGAATTCTTACCCAAGTATTGTAAAGAAATCTTCTACATTCACATTTTATGAGAAGCATGGGGATATTGTGATGGGGATTTTGTCAGACTCACACACACTGAAGTTTCAGTAATGAGTCCTCAGAGAGTCATATGTTTCATAGGCTTATGTCAATTGACTACCTATTATAAACATCTGCCTGCAACACCTTAACAAGCTGGGTCTTTGCCTGGGATCACATGGCAGTTCCAACATACTATAGACAAGTGCAACATCTGCATTCTATATACTCTGAGGCACTTTCTGGAAATCAAATTTAAAGTGCTGAGCATTCATATGACAAGCATGTTCAGCAAAACTGAAGGGATGTATCATAAATTTTCAGTGACAAGAAGTGTGTGTTCAAATTTCTTTATTTTTTTAAAAAAAACACTGAACAGACACAGTAAAGCATTAACAATGTTCATCACTTATTTAGTAGGATTTAGAATGGATACCTTCCCAGCCATGCTAATGTTATATTATTTCTGAAAGACAAATAGGGTTAGTTTTAATCTTTGTCAATCTTTACTGGGAGGGGGGAAAAGTTTCTTTCCATAACAGTTTGTTCAATTTATATGACCACCCACTTGATTGGAATGCTCTAATTAATTGCACAAATCATAATAGTTTCTACACATATTTTGACATGCTATGTAGCTGCTTTCCTTTCATGAATACGTGACGCAATGATAGACATTTGATAGTTAACTATAAATGAAATCTAAGCCAATACATGGAGTGTATGTGTATATTTATTTACCATTACATATAATTAATATGCAATCCTTAACTCTTGCCTTTTAAACAAATCTGTAATCAATTTTTTTAATCTGCTTATAGCATTACAGTTATTATTCTGAATGCTGTTCTTAAATTTGTGATTTGTTTTATTCATTTGTCTTATCTGAAATCTTGCCAATGTGTTAGTAATAACTTGTATGTACTAATAATCACACCAGTAATTATTGCTTCAGAAGACTTATGAAGAATAATTCTTATACAATACAAGTAGCAATAAAAATAGGGAGATAAAGTTCTCAGCAAGTAAGTATTTTCACTCTTTATTCCTATTTCACTTCTGGGATAATCTTGTGGCAGCATGTGCTATGATCTTAACCTTTTTCAATGATGGATTCATTCCAAATGACATTAAACAGAATAAAATACAATGCTATTGCAATTTTTCTCAGAAGTAAGTTTCACTATGTGCAGTGGGTTTTTGTTGGAAGGAAGGGTTGAGAACTGGGGTGGGGTAGAGGACAGAAAAGTCAAGGGGATATGTCATGGACATTACCTTGACATTCTTTCTCTGCAGACAAAATATTTAAGGATTTAAAAGACCAATTGTGTTAAAATAACTATTTTCACTGTACCTCTTTTGGTGATTCTCTTTCAATGAATGTCTCATAAATTGTCTTTGCTTTGAGTAGAAGTTGGGAGGCATCTTTGCTTTTCTTATACTCTTCACATGCCATCCAAAACTCAATGTTCTCTTCACTGAACTCGCTTCTCAAAAACTTGATGAATGCATCTAAGCCACCTACGGAATAAACATCATGTAATCAAAGGAACATCAAATAAAACATGACAACATTTTCTCACTACCATTTTTAGATATATTTTTTTAGTTAACTCTCTCCGTAAATTACACATTTTTGTTATTTTTGTAAAGTTAGTCCTGGAACAATAACTGTGGTTTGTGTAGTAAAGGATAAGCAAAAGTAATGTCCCAAACTTTCACTGTGTGGAAGTTTATTTTGAACAAACCAGAAAAGCTTTCAGCAGAATCAGAGCTTAATTTGAGAAAAGTGCAGGCAATATTCAGATTAAAAACATGTCTAATTTAAAGACAAATATTAGATGTGAATGGGCTGTCTGTTACTAAAATGGCAGGTGACATTCTCCTTCAGTGTGGCAAAGTGCTAAAGCTCTTCATTTTTCATATACAAGCCTGTTTTCAGTAATTTTCAGGGGTTCCTGAAAGTATTGTGCAGTTTCAGCACTTCATCAGCTTGAGGAAGGACAATGCTGTGCACCAGTTTTAGTAATAGGTAGTCGGTTTGTAAGTACAAGTTCTCATTTAAATATAAATTTGGGTTAAAGATAGAGGTAGAGAACAGAACTGCTTCTTAACTTGAGGACTTCCTGTAATAGGTATGCCATATTCTTTCCAACGTGCCCCTTGTTTGGTCTAAGAATGGGCAAATTACACTATTTAGTTCAATGTCAGTTTCACCTGGATTCATTTACATATTAATTATATATGCATATTCATTTGTAATTTCAAAAATATCCAGCTTGAGTCAAATAGTTTATTGCAACAAAGGCATTTCACATGCACCATTAATGTTACTGAATTTAGAATTGCACCACAATCCACTAATCTACTTCAATAATCACATTGACTGTAAATTTATCTTTAGATACTGGCTCTAGATAATATTTTGACTACAGGATTTGGTTCCACTTATATTAGTGGATGAGAAGCACTTTAGTGCAGTGATTAAAGCATCAGGCTAGAAACTAGGAGACTATGAGTTCTAGTCCCACTTAGACATGAAGCCAGTTGGGTGTCCTTGAGCCAGTCATTCTCTTTCAGCCCTAGGAAGGAAGCAATGGCAAATCATTTTTGAAAAGACTTGCCAAGGTAACTGCAGGGACTTGTTCAGGCAGTCTCTGAGACTCAGTCACAATTGAATTGAAGAAAAAAATAATAGAAATACTATTGGAAATACTTCATAGACTTTTAGCTGATCTATCTCAAGAAGGATCTTAGCAAATATGAAAAAATAGATATTGACAACAAAATAAAAGAACTGTAAAATACGAAGAACCGGATTTCAATCAAGCCTTATTTTTAAATTTACTTTATTCCTTCTTATCACCAGTTATCTTTAGTTTTTATTACAATGTTTTATCATAAAGTTTACTTTAGTATAGCACAATGCTTAAGTGTGTTTATCACTCTTAATCCAATACACAGCTATTTTTATATATCAACAGTCATGCTATCCTATATTTTATAGAAAATCTTAATATAAATTGCAGACATGGAGTAATATCTTAAAATGAATAGATTGTTTAGAACAGAGGTCCCCAACCTTTTGGGCACCAGGGACCGGTTCCGTGGAGAGAGATTTTTCCATGGAATGGAGATGCATGGTTTTATGTGCTGCCTGCATCCTGGGGATGGGGCTTTGCTTGTTTGTGTGGACCAGTTGCTGGCATGCCGGAGCCCAGTAGCAGTCCATAGACTGGGGGTTGGGGACCCCTGGTTTAGAATACAAAATATAGTGCATACAATGCCTATATAAAAAGTGCACAAACACATGTTAAGGGCTCACATTTTTCAGTGCCATGGAAAGAAAACTTCTGGGAAGTAGGGAACCTAAACAGTTAGTCTTTGCCCAAAGATAGCAATGACACAAAACGTGGCCATCTTTCTGGAGGTTTCTATTGGGTTATCAGCAAAAAGAAATAATATTTTCTTCTGCTCTGACCCAATGGAGTTTATATATAGATCCTACCAGTCCAAACATATGTGCATTGCAATGGGCATAAGTCAGGTGTTAACTCAAAAGTTGCTTATATGCTGATTAACTCATTTGCAGTGCTACTTTGTAAAGCTAGATTTCACCAGGTTGCTCAAAACTCTGTTTGAGGCCCAGCAAGACAGCTTTTAGGTAATGCATATTGAACAATGGGCCAGCAAAAGATCACTAGACATGGTGATGTATAATATTATAATGATATTAAATAAGCACTGCAGGCATATTTAGAAACTATAACTTAATGTACAATTACTGAGAATAATTGAAAGCTGCAACATGGCTTTGCTTGGAAGACTCAACTAGAATATTCAGTTTAGATATGGGAAAGGAAGATGATTGGTCTGTTGACTGATGATGTCACAATCAACAGCCATTTTCATTGAGTTTTTTCCCTTAATTGAACTTCAAAAATTGTATGACTTTTTGTTTCATTTTCAATAGTATACTCAACTTTGGATAAAAAAAACCCAAATAATTTTGCTTGTAATATTTATATCCTAATTATAATTGTTATTGATAGAATAGCTAGAAGTTCATATCTATGTTACTAGTCACAAGCTCCATTTCATAATTGTTTATTGTACATTACATAATATATATTAATATTAATATTTAATAAAATATTCACTTCTTCCTTCAATAATTTTCTCCACTATTGAAGCTTCAGTACTTCTAAGCTTTTACGGTAGTGATCAAAATTCAGGGCCTTTTTTCACAGCAATCTGGCAGTCAAACTTAATAGACTTCTTCACTTTACACATGGTTAATCCTTCATCACAGAAGAATAATAATGAAAAGATATTTTGTGTGAAAAAAAATTGAGCCTTCTTGTAAAATGAAAGAGAATGTTGAACTGTAATGAAGCATAATGCTAGTGGAAAACATTGATACCAACCTTTGTGAGAAATCAGCTGGTCAAAAGATTCAGCCCATTTTTTTACAGCTTCAGGGGACTCACTACACAAGATAAAAAGAGAGGCATCACCTGTTTGTGTGCACACTTGCATATTTTCCTAACATATTTTATCTCCTGTTAATTTCAGTCTGTCATGTTTCTAATGGTATTGAATAAGGATTTCTTTGGGGGGGAAAAAAAGCTTCAAAAAGCTGATCTGATTTCGCTGATGTTTTTCCTATTAAATTATGAAAATAATCAATGTATTGAAAGGAAGTGCTGCCTTCTGAATGATTTTATCGTACATCTGTAATCTTTTAAAATAAGCAAATACGTGCCTCACCCCTTTATTATTTTAAAATAAATCCATAAAAGGAGTATTTTGTTTGTCTCTGTGTGTGGGAAGGGGTCAATGATCTTTGAAATGGTTTTGCACAAAAAAGCTTGGGAATGAAAGAGAAGTGTTCATACTGAGATGTGGTTTCAAACACTGCCGAAGGCACTATGATCACAAGCTATTTTTAACATTACACAGGAAGCTTCATGGTATTCAGAAAGAAGGATGCAATATTAGTGCAGCCGTGACATAAGCACACAATTTGTGCACAGCAAAATAATGACTTTTTCACCAAATGCCATACTATTTTGGAAGGACTTATTTTTAATTTAGGAGATGAGAAAGAAGGTTGCTTTTCTTTTTCTTTGTAAAAAGCCAACTACCACTGAAAGGTACACCAAAAAGTCTCAATCATTCTTCTGCTAAAAAGTTTGGGAAGTGACCTTTTCAAGTACATGTCAATAGCCCTGGAGAAGTGTGCAAAATAAATTAATTTAGACAATTTACAGAGGGAAACCAACAAGAAGGAGATAAATACAATAGCAGGCAAGCTTGATAACCTAGCTGAGACAGAGCAGATTACCATTTGCAACCTTTTCAGCTGATTTCTGACAAGCAAAGTCAGTAGGGAGCTGGACTGTCTTAACTGTCTCAACGATTTGGATGAAGGGATAGATGGGGAACTCATCAAATTTGCAGACGACACCAAGCTGGCAGGAATAGCCAACACTCCAGAAGACAGGCTTCAGATACAGAAGGATCTGGACAGACTTGAACACTGGGCACTAACTAGCAAAATGAAATTCAATGGTGAAAAAAGCAAGGTTCTACATTTAGGCAAGAAAAACCAAATGCACAAGTACAGCATAGGTGGCACCATGCTCAATAGTAGTAACTGTGAGAGGGACCTCAGAGTCCTAGTAGACAATCACCTAAATATGAGCCAGCAGTGTGCTGCAGCTGCCAAAAGGCCAACACAGTGCTAGGCTGCATTAACAGAGGGATAGAATCAAGATCACGTGAAGTATTAATACCACTCTTCAATGCCTTGGTAAGGCCACACTTGGAATACTGCATCCAGTTTTGGTCACCACGATGTAAAAAAAGATGTTGAGACTCTAGAAAGAGTACAGAGAAGAGCAACAAAGATGATTAGGGGACTGGAGGCTAAACATATAAGGAACGGTTGCGAGAATTGGGTATGTCTAGTTTAACGAAGAGAAGGACAAGGGGGGACATGATAGCAGTATTCCAATATCTCAGGGGCTGCCATAAAGAAGAGGGAATTAAGCTATTTTCCAAAGCACCTGAAGGCAGGACAAGAAGCAACGGGTGGAAACTAATCAAGGAGAGAAGCAACCTAGAACTAAGGAGAAACTTCCTGACAGTGAGAACAATTAATCATGGAACAGCTTGCCTCCAGAAGCAGTAAATGCTCCAACACTGGAAGTTTTTAAGAAGAGACTGGACAGCCATTTGTCCGAAATGGTGTAGGGTTTCCTGCCTGAGCAGGGGGTTGGACTAGATGACCTGCAAGGTCCCTTCCAACTTTACTACTATTATTATTATAACTATTGCTTGACTTTAACAACTGCTGTGATTCACTTAACAACTATAGTAAAAAAAAAGCACATAAAATAGGGTAAGATTCCCTTAACAACTGCCTTACATAGCATTGAAAATGCTGATGCCAATTGTGGTTGTAGGTGGTTGTAAGTAACCGTGTTTTTTTAAACAGAAATCAGAAGCTGTTTTCACAAATATTTATCCATTTTATAGATGGGGGAAACTTAGGTTGAAAGTAGTCTTCAGAATGTCAGTGAACCTATAGCTAAAAACATACCCATATAAAAAGCAGATTTCATGTAGATACACTGAGAAAAATAAGCCTATCCAAAGAACATGTGACAATTTTAAAACATTAATATATTGATGCAATGTTTCTTAACATGAGAAACTTTAAGATGTGTGGACTTCGACTACCAGAATTTCTCAGTCAGAATGCTGGGTGGAAAATGCTTTGAGTTGAAGCCCACCCATCATAAAGTGGCTGAGGCTGAGAAGCACTATATTAAGGAAATTGTTTTCTAATATTTACCATTTTTATGAAAGACACATGGAAGAGAAAGAAAGAAACAGAACAAAAGATGTCACAAAATCAGACTAAACAACAGAGCAAAAAGGATTGTGGGAAGATGTGTTTCCTGCAAAAAGAAAAAAAAAATAGCCTATAAAAAAATCCTTATAAGAATTCCATTGACTTCCGGTGGATCTGCGTGGGCGATGGCGGCTACTTTGTAGCCGTCCTCCTGGGTAAGTGTAATGAATCGCTATGAACAGCGGACATCAGCTGTTCAGCGGTTCAAAATCCCCCTCCTGGGCAAAGGGGGGGGAAGAGGGTTGTCTGAATAGTGGTAGAGCCTCTTATGTACCCCCATTTCTCTTTTTTGGGGGGTGACAGAGTGCTCCCACGGAGTTCAGACTGTCTCCGCTTCCCAGCTGTTTTTGTCCCTAGGGACAAAACAAGCCGTTGCAACGACCTCCGCGTTTAAAGGGATCTGGTGAGTTTTTTTAGAAGCGGACAGAGTTGATTAGAGGATTTACTTTTTGCTTTCTTTGATTTTATATGTATTTTAAGTTTAAAGACTTATTTTCATGTTTATATTCTCTCCTTTTACTTTTTACTTTTTGCCGAAAGGGAAAGTAAAATGGCGATCGGCAGATTTTCTGGCGTTTTTTTTTTTGGGAAGCTAGAATGGCGATCGGTTTCTTTTGCTTTCTCTTCTTTTTTTATTCTTGTTGTTTAACTTTTTAGTTTTGTTTTTCGTATTTTTAACAGTCAGGCTTCTTGGTGTTTAAGCATTATTGTTTTTGTTTGATTTTTTTGCTTTGTCTTTTGTACTTTTAAAAGGCAGGCTTTTTGGTGTTTTTTCTCCCCCTTCTCTTTCCTTTTCTTTTTAATGATTGGAATGGATATTTTAATTCCTTTTTTTTCTTTCCTTTTTTTTAACTCCCTTTTTATTATAATGATTCTCTTTTGAGGGAGTTATGATTTCTTTTTGAAGGAATTTTTGTAATTTTCAAGAAGGAGTAAAGTTTTTTTTTTAAGATGGCTTCAAAGCGCCCAGGGACCTCTACAGTTCCTAAATCAATAGTTCCACCCTCTTCTGTGGTCCAGCCAACAATTGTGAAGGATTTGCAAGATATGATGGGAAATGCTATAATTCAAATTAGGGCAGAAATGAAAAAGATTTTAGACGAAAATAATAAGACTTTGAGGCAAGATATAGTTTTGGCTTTAAAAGGAGTTGCTTCTGTTCTTGAAAAGTTGAATTCCCGTGTGGAAGAAGTAGCTGAAAAAGTGGAATTAATGGAGGGAAAAATTGAAAGTATGGAAAAAGAAATGGAAAATGAGATTCTTATGCTTCAATATGGTCAAATGGAATATGCCTTAAGAATTAGAGGCTTGGGAGAGTCTTTGCAAGGAGATCTGAAAGAGATGGTTGCAAAGGACTTTGCCGTGATTTTGAATAAAGAAAAAGAGGAAATACTTAGTGAAATTGAAAAATTATTTAGAGTTAATTCCGTGGTGGCAGTGCAAAAGAATTTGCCAAGAGATGTGGTAATTTACTTTGGAAAAAGATCTCTACGCAATGAAATTATACAAGCTTTTTATAAGAAGAGATTTCAAATTGCTTCACAAGACGTCATAATTTTAAAGGAGATCCCATCTAAAATTTTAAGAAGAAGAAAGGAGTTTGTTTTCTTAGCAGATGAACTTAAAAATAGATGAATTTCGTTCAGATGGGATGTTTCGATTGGAATGGTGGTGAATTACCTGGGGATATGTTATAGACTTAATACTGTTTCTCAAGCAAAAGATTTTTATACTTCGGTCCTGGGGGTATGTTCATCGCCATCTATTAAGTTTAAAGCCTTGGAAGAAAAGAATGTAGAATTACAGTTTGAAGAGCCTACATTTATGAAAATTGGGGAACCTTTGTTTGAGAGGCCTCAACAAGTTCAGGTTGAGGAGCAGAAGATAACTTGTGTAGCACATAACTGTAAAGAAAAGCAGCAACAGAAGAAGGTTAAGGAAGCCTCACATTTAGTGGTTTCTGAATTTGCGGGAGAAGCAAGACTTATAAAGCCTTTGGAGCAATTTTCAAGGGTGGAATTGTTGTCTGAAGAAATGGAAAATGGGAAATCTCAGCTTGAGGGGTTTCAACAAGCTTGATAAGGATAAGGATGGAGAATGAAAATTAGAGATTGATAAGGATTGAGAATGAAAATGGACAATTGAGACCGATAATAATAATATTAGTATGATAAGGATGGAGAATGAAAATGGACAATTGAGACTGATAAGGACCGTGTTTTTTGGAGAATGAAAATTAGAGATTGATAAGGATCGAGAATGAAAATGGACAATTGAGACTGATAATAATAATATTAGTATGATAAGGATGGAGAATGAAAATGGACAATTGAGACTGATAAGGACTGTATTTTTTGTGGACGGAATTTGTTATTGGTGAAGATTTAAATGTTTAATGTGTTTATTGTCGATGGAACTTGTTATTGATAAAGATTTAAATGTGTATAAGGGAATTTTAATGTTTTAAGTCTTAAGTAATGTTTAAACTTGTGTTTTGGAGGGAGTTTATAAAGAATGATAATAATATCAGTAATTATTATTATTACTATTTTTAAGATGGAATTTGATTAAATGTTTATAAGGGGATTCTAATGTTTTAAGTTTTAAGTAATGTTTAAATTTGTGTTTTGGAGGGAGTACAACTTGTTTATTCTACTGTTTTAAGTTTTAAGTAATGTTTAAATTTGTGTTTTGGAGGGAGTATAACTTGTTTAATCAAATGTATTTAGATTTGTTTATGATTTATATTAGATTTTATATTGTAGGTATAGATGTTCAAAGAAAGTAGTGTTTAAAATTGTGTTTTGGAAGGAGTTTATATAGAATGATGGATAATATTATAAGTATTATTAGAAGATGTTTAGAGTATATTATAATGTGTTTAATGATTTTATTTACTATTTTTTTTAGAGAAGATAATCTATTTAATTTAAGGTATTTAGATTTGTTTAGGATTCATATGTGTTTTAAGTTTTTTTTCTTTTTTCTTTTTTCTTTTTGAAACATTTAGGACAAGCCTGTAATCAACTCTGGGAGGCCTAGGGGAGGGTTAGGGAGGTTTGGGGAGTTGGGGGAGGGTATGGGAGGGTGGGTTTGGGGAGGGGATTTGTTTTGTAAAATTAAAAAAAATTTCAATAAAAAAAAAAGAATTCCATTAAGAATTTCAAAAATTGCATAAGATCTTATAAAAATCATACAGGCATGTATCCGTGTTTGACTGGACCATCACTAAGCTGCACAATGGTGCAAAAGAACTGAAAGATATTCCTAATCTCTATCAAAAAGTGATCATGAGGTATCATACTCTGCTGACATTCTCTTGTTGTTGTTAGTTTCGAAGTCGTGTCTGACCCATTGCGACCCCATGGACAATGTTCCTCCAGGCCTTCCTGTCCTCTACCATCTTCTGGAGTCCATTTAAGCTCACATCTACTGCTTCAGTGACTCTACCTAGCCACCTCATTCTCTGTCATCCCCTTCTTCTATTGCCCTCAATCTTTCCCAGCATTAGGCTCTTATCCAGTGAGTCCTTCCTTCTCATTAGGTGGCCAAAGTATTTAAGTTTCAACTTCAGGATCTGGCCTTCTAAAGAACAGTCAGGGTTGATCTTCTCTAGGACTAACCGGTTTGATTGCCTTGCAGTCCTACTTCCCCTCAAATGTTTCAGTTCTTTACTTTTTCTATTTTTGCCCTTTTTTTGCTTGCAAGTTCCTTTAGCATTTGGGGGTTGGGTTTTTGAACATCTTTCATTGTAGCAAAGTGATATTAAAAGTTGTTGAATATGCCCTGCCTATGCCAACTTGCTTTAGTGTAGCCATGGCAGCTCCTTGCCAGAGAGTCCCTTGTGATTTAAACTTGGGATTTAGTTTTTTTTAAAAAAACATCCTCAACGGTCATCTTATTAAAATAAGCAGAAGCAAAATCTATATCTTGCTTATGAAACATTTTTATAAAACTTTCTCAGTAGAAAAACGAAACAAAACAATGCTATTTCCTGTTAAACTGAAGGAGAGAGGCAGAGCACTACTTCCTATGATTTAGAGTTGCATAATGGGCTTCAAATTCTGGGAGTTGAAGTCCACACATCTTAAAATTACTAAAGTTGAGAAAACACTGATTGTCAACGATGGCATAATCAAAACAACATGTAAGACAGGCATGCAAGAGATATGCTGAATTAAATATGACTCCTTCTTTAGCGTAGTCTTTTTAATTTATATAACAAGTCTCACCTTGATGCTTTCGCTAGTTTTTCAAATTTGTCAAAATTCATATCTGGGTGCAATTCAGACTTATGCAAAAGACTTAGCCGGTTCCTCTTTTCAAGAGACCTACAAGAAAATGAAAGTTACTGTGGGTAAGATTTTCAAACATTTCTCTTGTGCCAGCTCAGAGTGCTTTGTAAAGCTCATTGCTTCCCTTTCACATATGATTCCCATAAATGTTGATGTTATTTTCCCATTTGCTAGAGAGAATAATAGATTCCTTACTGACACCTCTGAATATATTTGCACAGAATCATCTGCATAGGGTAAATGAACATCTTTTCATGTTGATAGTCTTTCCCGTTTACTTTGGTGACAAGAGCAGGAGAGACTAGAGAGGGAGGAAGGAATAGGCTTAATCTTAGCGAAACTAGGCTGAGATCATGAGCCTTCTGAGACTGTGTTGTTTAAAAATCAGATAACAAAAGAGGAAATGCAATAGCTGAAATGATTAAAATGAAACATATTTCATGATGCATTCAGTGAAACTTGAATGTATTAGCTGGTATATCGCTGCCACAGAAAGTGCTGCTTTCTTTGATAATGCTGAACGATGCAAATGGGGTGATGATGTGATATTGTAATGGCTTTCCTTTCCTGTGCTCTGATTCCTTGGTTGCCATATCATAGGATTTGTGCAAGTAGACGCTATCATCTCAAGAGACAAGAACAAAATGGAGTTGGAACTTTCAGCCCAAACCACCCATCCATTAAAATAGCATTAGGACATTTTTTTTCTTGTACCACTATTTTTTGTAATGCTTTCTTGTGAGCATTAACTCCTGTTGATTGTCTGGACAAGCCCCCTGAGTTTCCCTTGAGTAGATTTTGCAGATTTTGTCATTGCCTGCTTTGTAGAACTGAGAGAAGGTGATTGGCCCATGGTCATCCAGCTGGCTTCATACTCAAGATGAGACCAGAACTCACGGTCTCCCAGTTTTTAACCTGATGTTTAACCTTAGCTCTATTGCACCATATTACTTGTATTGTATTTTAGTTACTATAATGAATATAAAGAAAAGGGATTAATGTATGCATAGGTGCAGACATCTGTTTTTATGGAAATATTTGGCATCTAGTAGCATCCTTGACCTACAAAATGAAAGTGCAAAAAACTAAACCTCAATTACATTTAATCTGATGACATTTTCAAACATTTTGTAATTTCACTCTTCTTTTTCATTATAAATAGCAAAGTTTTCTGGATACCATGGCCAAAGTTTTGAGAGTTGAATACAAGTTGTATAGTACAACCTAGTACTCTCCAAATATAACCATGCAGCTTGAGAATTTTCTAGATGGCATCAAATCTGGCTTATTTACAGGTGAAACTCGAAAAATTAGAATATCATGCAAAAGTTCATTTATTTCAGTAATGCAACTTAAAAGGGGAACCTAATATTTGAGGTAGACTCATTACATGAAAAGCAAGATAGTTCAAGCCATGATGTGTCATAAGTGAGATGATTATGGCTTACAGCTCATGAAAACTCCAAATCCACAATCTCAGAAAATTAGAATATTGTGAAAAGGTTCAATATTCTAGGCTCAAAGTGTCCCACTCTAATCAGGTAACACCTGCAAAGGGTTCCTGAGCCTTTAAATGGTCTCTCAGTTAGGTTCAGTAGGACTCACAATCATGGGAAAGACTGCTGACCTGACAATTGTGCAGAAAACCATCATTGACACCCCTCCATAAGGAAGGAAAGCCTCAAAAGGTAATTGCAAAAGAAGTTGTATGTTCCCAAAGTGCTGTATCAAAGCACATTAATAGAAAGTTATGTGGAAGGGAAAAGTGTGGAAGAAAAAGGTGCAAAGCAGCAGGGATGACCGCAGCCTGGAGAGGATTGTCAGGAAAAGGCCATTCAAAAGTGTTGGGGACTTTCACAAGGAGTAGACTGAGGCTGGAGTCAGTGCATCAAGAGCCACCACACACAGACGGATCCTGGACATGGGCTTCAAATGTCGTATTCCTCTTGTCAACAACAACGTTAGAAGCGTCTTACCTGGGCTAAAGAAAAACAGAACTGGTCTGTTGCTCAGTAGTCCAAAGTCCTCTTTTCTGATGAGAGCAACTTTTGCATCTCATTTGGGAACCAAGAACCCAGAGTCTGGAGGAAGAATGGAGAGGCACACACTGCCAAAAGCACCAAAACCTGGTTCAATGACTGTGGGATTACTGTGTTTGATTGGCCAGCAAACTCGCCTGACCTGAACCCCATAGAGAATCTATGGGGCATTGCCAAGAGAAAGATGAGAGACATGAGACTGAACAATGCAGAAGAGCTGAAGGCCTCTATTGAAGCATCCTGGTCTTCCATAATACCTCAGCGGTGCCACAGGCTGATAACTTCCATGCCACGCCGCATTGAGGCAGTAATTGCTGCAAAAGGGGCCCAAACCAAGTACTGAGTATGTATGCATGCTTATACTTTTCAGAGGTCCATATTGTTCTATGTACAATCCTTGTTTTATTGATTGCATGTAATATTCTAATTTTCTGAGATTGTGGATTTGGGGTTTTCATGAGCTGTAAGCCATAATCATTTCACTTATGACACATCACAGCTTGAACGATCTTGCTTTGAATGTAATGAGTCTATCTCATATATTAGGTTCACCTTTTAAGTTGCATTACTGAAATAAATGAACTTTTGCATGATATTCTAATTTTTCGAGTTTCACCTGTATTTAACAAATTTATATGACCGCCCATCTAAGCAATGAAACTCTGAAGAGTGAACAATGGATAGCAATGCAATGCAAATTCAAACCCAATGTGGGGGGGATCAGGTTTTCATGGCTTTCTTGAAGGCTGGCAAGTCAGGATTATCTCGGGTGGGGGGGAGATACTGTTTTATAACATGGAACATAGAGGTGGCCTTGATGGAAATATTCAGAATCTGTTACAAAAAGAAAAAAAAAAAGGCAGAGGTATTCCTTAAGATTCGCTCCCTGAATCACTAACAAAAAGCACCATCAGGCTTGCAAGATTCTGTCCATAGAGTATATCACAATGAAGCTTGGTTCTAGTCTAGGATCTGTGGTGGTGCAGTGGTTGGAATACAGTATTGCAGGCAATCTCTGTCTACAGCCTAGAGTTGGATCATGAACTCTAGGTTGATTCAGCTTCCATCCTTCCAAGGTCAGTAAAATGAGGGCCCAGATTACTGAGGCAATACGCTGACTCTGTAAACAGCTTAGACAGTGTAAATCATTCAGAGAGTGCTATAAAGCACTATGGAATGGTACATAAGTCTAAGTGCTATTGCTATTTTATGGAGTTTGTTTCCTGATGTGGACAACCTCAAAGGGCTGAAAATAAGGCAGGCACCATGGCAGAGAAGGCATGCTTTGTAGGTTGACATTGGTCACCCAGGGGACTCAGAACATCCAACCTGATAGATCTGGATAGACCAACAAAGATAGGCAATCCTGCACATATGTGGGAAAACAATTAGCTTTATGTACATAATACCCAATATGACACTACAATTTAAAAAACCCCGAGAACTTGAAAATGTATTTTGTAAGTCTCCAACCGATATTAATTATTTACATATTTACATCAGTCTAGCATAGCAATGTTTTGTGTGTGTGTGTGTGTGTGTGTGTGTTTTCAAGTATTATTGCTAAACATCACAAGACTGACGTTTGTCTACTACTTTGCATATATGGCTTCTTTGTATGTATTCAAATCAACATACGTATAAACAAGAAACCACTTCCTCACTTTCCAGTATTAAAGTTATGAGTGTTGTGTTTACATAAACAAAAATGTACCAGCTATCAGCTGTGCCCAGTACGGAAGTGTTAGCAGGCTTGCAGGAAATCCAAAATTTGCAAGATTGCAAACATTTAAAGGTGGGAAAAATGACTAAAAGAGAATTGGTATGATGATATCATGAAGTTTAAATATGCGCCCCAGGCATGGAATAATGAAAATTACTGGAATCTTGAACAGAGAATATTTGCATAGCAATTATGTTGCAGGTTTCATTTGCCATTCTATGCTGACATTCTAGGATCTGTAAGCATGATTCCATTTTGGCATACCCTTTTAATGTGAGTAGCCACACACAAGCAAACCTTGGTAATATCCAGACTATTCTAAGGCACTGCTGTAAATGACTGCTTTGTTTTATCTTTGACTGGATCTGTGACCATGAAATCCACCCAAGAGGTGTAGTTCTTAGTTGCAAATTTTAGAAATGTTGTGCTATCAATGTTAATAAAGTGAGGAAGGAAGATGTCTATGGAGATTCTCAGTCATCCAGGTAATAGTTATCCCAAAGATGCTTTTTCATGAGGCAACTGGACTTTCTTGTTTTTTTTTTGAAGACATTTCTTTTCTCATCCAAGAAGCTTCTTCATGTCTGACTGGATGATGGGGAATAGAAAGATGCAAGGAATATAAATCTTTCTGTTCCCCAATGTCCAATCAGACCTGAAGAAGCTTCTTGGATGAGAAGCGAAAAGTCTTCAAAGAAAAACAAGAAAGTCTAGTTGCATCCTGAAAAAGCATCTTTGGGAATGAGGAAAGAAGCAAAGTTTTAGAACCACTGAATCCTGTCCATCACTATAGTTTGCAAGAGAGGTATAGGGCAGCATCATACAATAAAATAGTCTGGCAGGCAAGGAAATATCATCATGTATTGGGTTTAAGTACTTGAAAAAAAGAACAATGCTCAATTGTCCTGCAGGATTTCAGAGCAACACTTAACAAAAAGAAAATCAAAGAATATTGGAGGGTCATTAAATTAAATTAACTAAATTAAATTATTTCTTAATTGTATTTCAAAAAACTGTCCCTTCAATAGACAGAAGTGATATGTTTTTCCCCTTTACACATTTTTTTTTAGTATTGTTGGCAATCAGAAAAGAAACTAGTGTTCTGAGGCAGGATTCTTTAGCAAATACGCATGATTGAAGTTGGATTTAATCAAGACAGGGAATGTTGTTTTATGCTTAAAGGACACATTGATTTGAGCTGATAACTTTGACTCTTACCAATGTTAACATCCATATTTTTATTTTGGGAGAAATATGATTGTGGGTGTGGGGCAGGTACTGAGTCATGCTTAGACATGATACCAGATATTATTATAGCTGTGTGGATAGATCTTTAGTTCTGATCATGAATTAGCTAAGCATATTTAATTTTGACTTCAAAAGGAGGAACACATATCTCCATATACAGAATTCTGATCAAAGTGATTTGGAACTGTTTCAATTGTTACTATATTGTTTTATTTTGCTTTTGGTTAGAGAGATATACTGGCCTCTTTATAGAACAACTTCTGAGACAACTAACTGAATTGCTTGGGTTTGCTTGAAAAAACATGGTTCTTTTTTTCTTTCATATTTCTATTTAAACATTTTCTACTAAGCATTCTAAATAAATAAATAACATTCAGATTTTAACAGACTTTTACAATAGTATGCTTTTCTGTGGATTGGCAACTCCCCTCCCAAACCCATAAAATACATATATATTTGCAAAGATTTTCACTTCGTGCTATGCATTTGACCAAATGTGCACCAGTTTCTGCATTTGTCAACATTTTTTACTGACAATAAGAAATGGTAATTTTTTCACTACTGTAGACTCCTCACTACATCTTGATTTATTTTTATTTTTTTTGAGGGGAAGGAGTAAGGATTGAATAAAGCTTGCACTGAAACAAGAACACACTTTTATCTTCCCTGTAACTGCAAAAGGCTCAATGAAATACATTCCCTTCCTCACCATTTCTTCTCCATTACTTTGAACTGTAGGTCAGCACTCGCCTCTTACACTTCTGGCCTTCTCTCTCCTTTTCAAAGCTACATATCCTGCATGCAATTTCTGCCCTGAGCAGCGGAATGTAGTCTGGACTTGGGTATTTTGTTGTTTTTCCACTAAGCAAGAAAGTCACAAAATAAAGTACATTCAAATCCAAACCCCTTAGACTCTTACCTGTCTCCTGTGTCTGGCTTTGCCCCTTCTCTGTTCAAGGATTTCATGATTTTACAGAGAGATTTCACTCTTGATGCTGAGTTGAGCTGAGAGGATAATACCAGCGGGTTCTCCATTTTGCATGTAAGCACTCTGACAGATTAGATCTCCCTCTGATCTTTTTTCAGTTGCACGTTAATAAAACCTCAAGGACTGGATTGCTCTTTCTTATGCTGCACTTACTTTGAATCTTGATTTGGCATGGCTTATTCAGTTTGTGAGATGTTCCCCGCTATGGTCCTAGCTGCTGTGATAAGCACACGTGACTTTTTAGAGAAGTTCTTTTCTTTTTTTCCACCCAGAAGTCATTTCTTCAAAAGAGAGATTAGAAATGGGCTTATGTTTTGCAAGTTGGAAAGATAAACATAGGCCTTCCCCCAACTTGTGGTTGTAACTTGTGGTTAGCAGATATGAATGCGATATTTGGTCAAACAAGATGGCCTTTAGCACACTATACTGAGAACTAAACAAAACCAGCCACACAGAGCAGCAAAAGGGAAAATTGATATGATATCCTCTTATTACAGTTCTTTTTAAAAAACAGAACTTAAAATAGCCTAAAGTGCTGCAAGTAGTTGTTCAGTCAGGCACTGGTGAAGAGACATATTAACTTCAGCTGGGCTGTTTTGAGAGGTTTTTTTTTAACTATTTCATTTATTTCATAGACATCCAGACCTACTCCTAAGAGGTCAAGAAGTCTATGAAGGAGGTTAGATTGAATGGCAAAACATGTGACCCTTGGATGGTGAATTTTTGATGGACAGTCTTTCATCAATAATTTTCAAATCAAAGTCTGGCTTTTACATATATTTCGTTCAAGCACATATTATACCCATTTAATATGACCTACAGCTACCATTCTTTATCCTGACTGAATAAAAGCTCTACAAAATGTCACCAGAATTTGAGTCACAAACTTTGTTGTTGATTTTTACAGTTACTTTAGAACTACATGAGCTGGAAACTGTGTAATACGAAACCCAGCTTTGAAAAGTTTGTATGTCAGAAATTGCATTTTGTGTCGAATCTCAGAATCCTGTTTCACATCCTATAATTTCTAACTATGCACAGAAACATTTAGTAAAAATGAACACATCTTAAAGACATGCATATCTCATCTCTCTATTTTAACATTCTAACTTTTCTCACATGGCCCTTTTCTTAATTAATATAACATTTGCACAGAAAATATGTATATTCCTCAATTTCTATGAAACAGAGCTGGTCCAACAGCATCTGATGTTTATGTCTAAACAATGTGAAGAGCCTCTATTTTATTAATCCATTTAAGTTGGTTTGTATTTTAATGCTTATTTATGATATATAATAAAAGTATACTACCAATTGTCTTGTTTTAAGATTATATATAAACAAATCTGCTTTCTGCTCAGGGCAGAAATAGCACACAGAATAGAGCTTTGAAAAGAAGAAAGAAGTCCAGAAATCTAAGAGGCTAGCATGGACTTAACAGTTCAAAGTAGGTCCATAGTACTTTTGCAGATTTTACTCAGAATTCTATTTTGTTCCACAATAAGCTGCATGGTTTTTTGTTTGTTTGTTTTAATTAAAACACTTTTTCTAAAACATGTTAATATATATGTAATTGTATACTTGCAAAATAAAATATCCATCTTTTCCAAGCTATGTTATTTAAATGTACATTTAAATCAGGGGTCCCCAATCCCGGTCCATGGACCAGTACCAGTCTGTAGCATGCCATAAACTGGTCCTTGCAAACAAGCGAAGCCCCATCCACAGGATGCAGGCAGCATGTAAAACCACACCCCCTTTGGTCCACAAAAAACCCCCTCTCTTCATGGAACCAGTCCCTGGTGCCCAAAGGGTTGGGGACCTCTGATTTAAATCATTGAAATAGACCAAACAACCTTTAGATTATCTATTGAATGGGTTGTGAATATTGGCATAGATCTGTAATATGATGGCAATTATTACTAGTTGCTTAAATTAATATTGTTAGTATGCAGTGCAAATGTGCACTATTCCCCCAAAGACCTATGAAGTTCCTTTCATTATAAACTAAATATACAAGTAAAGTGAAGGATAAGAGGAGAGACTAATGAGGTTGAATGAGACAAAGAAAACCCAAGCCCATTTCAGAAATAATGTTTAATTCCAGGAAGACAGAAAATAATCTCAGGAAAGAAGAAATAAAAAAAAGAGAAAACTTCCAAGAAGAAGCAAAAGTGAAAAAAGAATAAGGGGAGAAATGTAAATAACAAATGCAATTAGTCCAATTAGTATTAATGTTACTGAAGAAAGCACATACACTGCTTTACTTTCTATCACAGTCTAGCCCAGGCCCAGTCCTACGGAACAGTGAAGCAACTGCCTTAACCATCAGATGCTGGCAACCATAGGTCATTCCATCTGAGCCTCTGAATAACAAAATAACAGAGTTGGAAGGGACCTTGGAGGTCTTCTACTCCAAAGCCCTGCACAAGCACAGGACCCTATACCATTACAGAAAAATGGCTGTCCAGTCTCTTCTTAAAAGTCTCCAGTGATGGAACATCCACCACTTCTGGAGGCAAGCCATTCCATGGGTTAATTGTTCTCACTGTTAGAAAATTTCTCCTTAGTTCTATGTTGCATCTCTCCTTGATTAGTTTCTATGTATTGTTTCGTGTCTTGCCTTCTGGTGCTTTGGAAAATAGAAAATCCTGTAAGCATAAAGGCTCACAGCTAGCCCTGCACTTACATTGTCTGTGTGTGTGCTGAAAAACCATATCACATTGTTAGTTAAGTAGCAAGATTAAAACACCAGCACAACTGACATCTATGCGTAAGGGAGAGGAAGGTATATTCCTTGCTTCTGATAGGACAATCTCTTACACTGGCCTCCTTTTTGCATGCAAAAATACGGATTTGTACAGGCTGACCTTCTTGTTTACACCATCATTTTGTATGTTTGTATGTTTACAAATGTTTTATTTTCTTCTCATTCATTTTCTTTAACAAAACAATATTGATTAATTGGATTTTTAAAAGGTAAGATCCATATATTCTGGCTTCATATGCCTTTGCCTGATATTATCTTAGATCATTTGGAGAAGAAGAAAAGAAGCTTTTTAAGAGGACCTTAATAAAAGCAATACCTAGGATGGCTGAGTGAAATCACTTCCTTTTAGGCAAAACACTAAATAAATTCAGGCACCCTGCTTCATTATCTTGCTTCTCGTCTATTTGCTGGGAAATGTGGATTAGAGGGATTTTGTTTATTTATTTACTAAAAGGCACCACTCCAGGTGGTGCGTGCTATCGTTTACACCATATGCAAATATTTTCATTATTCTCATACATGAAATATAATTTTTAAAATTCAACACTGATTACATGTCATTGTTATGAGAATTTTCTCATACACATTAATATAGTAATATAGTAGTACTAAAACCACATCAGAACCAGGCTTGCTCAGGGATGGGAATGACATCATCTGTAAGGACCCACCCCCCTTTGCATCTTAAGAAGACAGAACTCTTGGAATAATTCTTCCAACAGGAATCCTTTATTAAGAAGAAGTGGTTGCAGGCGTGCTAGACAGGACTTGGGGTCCAAGCTCTCCAATTCAAGGTTTTAAGGGTTTCCCCAGTAGCCCCACCCAATCAACCCTCTCTTTCAGTGACAGTCTCAGGCATTACACTTCCACCCCCTTCTCATTATTGCCTGGCTGGATGGAGACTTCAAAGAAACTACATGAAAGGAAAACGGCCCCATTCTTATGGTTAGTTCTTTTGCAATACACACATTCAGTTCCTTAAAAGTATACTGAAGGAAGTGAGGGCCATAAAGCCCCTTTGTTCTCCCCCTTCTCTCCCTCTTATGGCAGAATCCAGAGAAGGCAGAATTGGGGTTTTCTATATTTGATAACTAAAGATGAAATATAATTGGATTCTGACATCCGGCCCCCTCAAAAATAAGAGAGATCCACCTGGAAGAAACAAAACAGGTATAAAAGTTAGTCAGGCTTGTTAGGGTACTCTGTGTGAAACTTCTTCAATAGCTTCGGGGCTCTGACATGACGTTTATGGACCCACTCGTTTTGTGAGGCAGGGAGGTGTTTCCAGGCAACTAGGTACTGAGTTGCTCCATGATGTCTCCTAGAATCAAGGATTTCCTTTATTTCGAAGTGTTGTTCGCCCTCTACCATGATTGGAGGTGGTGGAGGGGGGATTTTTGGCCGTAGAGGTGACTGATGCTCTCTTTTCAGCAAGCTGCAATGAAAAATTGGGTGTATTTGCCTGAGATTTTTGGGTAATTCTAATTCTACTGTTACTGGGTTTATGATTCTTTTAATTGGAAAAGGCCCTATATATTTTGGTCCAAGTTTTTTACAGGGTTGTAGAGACTTTAGGTATTTTGTAGATAGGTACACCATTTCACCTATAATGAATGGTGTGGGCTCAATCCTTTTTTTATCAGCTTGTGCTTTGTATGCCTGCCTAGCTTCATCTAGTGCTTTTCTAACTATTGGCCAGGTGTTTTGTAGTTTTTCCATCCATTCTTTCAGTGATGGGATCGTTGGTTCGTTTGGGGTTAATTCTGGCATGGGGCTGAAACTTTGACCGTTGGCTATTTGAAAAGGAGTGTAGCCTGTGCTGGAGTGGACTGCATTATTGTAGGCAACTTCTGCAAAAGGGAGTAAGTCTGTCCAATCACTCTGTTTGAAATTTAAAAAACATCTCAAATATTGCTCAAGTACTGAATGACAACGTTCCGTTTGTCCATCTGTCTGAGGGTGATGGCTAGATGTCAGTCCCTGAGTGGTCCCTAAGAGGGATAAAAATTCCTTCCAAAATGCAGACGTAAATTGCACTCCCCTATCAGAGATGATGCGTTGGGGTTTTGCTAAGGCCTTTGCAGTGGGAATCTTTTGGCAAGGGATAAAGTGCACCTGTTTGGAAAACAAGTCCGTGACTGTCCAGATAACAGTATTCCCATTGCTTTCTGGCAATTCCACTATAAAATCCATGGCTATTTCCCTCCAGGGGGCTGAGGGATTTGCCACTGGTTGTAATAGCCCTGGCGATTTCCCTTGCAGCCTTTTTGCAGATGCACATGTTGGGCAGCTGGCAATATAACTTTCTATGTCCTTTTTCATGGATGACCACCAAAATTGCCGTTTAATTAAATGTAAAGTTTTTACAAATCCAAAATGCCCTGCTGATTTTGTGTCATGGCAAAGGTGCATGAAAGTGACTTTTTGAGTTGTTGGTATATATAACTTTTCCCCTACCCAAGGCAACCCGTCTCTCATTGTGCACACATTTTTGTTTTTCTGGAACCATTCATCTGTTTCCAAACTTTTTCT